ATTTCTAAGTGAAATTCAAACTTGCCCCGCCCTGCCTTACATATGTAATTTGGTTTGCATTCGATCAATTCAATTTTTTCTCACCTTAATCAAGGACATTTCCCTGTGCTGTGCCCTATAAACTCGCAAGAAGTTCAGAAACGGATTTGTGGTGATCTTTCCACTGATGCATATTTTGATCGATTTTTTTGACCTAGATGATTTCTTCTTTCTAGTTGTCGGTTTTTGATTTCTTTTCCTGCGTTTGCAGGCGGCAGATGCTTTCTTCGCCTTTCGTCGTCTTCGACGTGGAGCAGATTTGCAAGCCATTGTATTTATCTAATAGATATAATTAATATATTTGGTTAAAAATTATATAAATAAAAATTCATTATAGAAGGTATCCCAGAACTCAACGTCAAGCCGAAACGGGGCGAAATTAATTGATCGTAACAATTTTTTTCTTGGGGTTTGAAAATTATGAGCTTAAAGTGCATTCTAGAGTTTTAGTCAGACTGCAACTAAGTTTCGGTTATTGTGTTTAATTTTTACTAATTTTGTTTATTTGAACTTTGTAGTTCTTACCATGATCAGCATTTTTAGGACCACATCCAAAGATAATCTTGCATTTGTCTCGAGTTTTCAAGAATTAAGACTTTTTGTTGGACAATGAATTTAAAATGTTCTAAACTATGTTAGAAGTTTTTGTCAAAATTTTCATTTTAAACTTTTAGTATTTTTGTTCATTTAAACTCTGAATCTTTAACCGTAAATAACAATTCTTAGGACCACCACAATCATGAATAATAGTTATTTTGTCTCAAGTTTTCAAGAATTAGGTCTTTTTATTGAATTATGAATTTAAAATTTCCAAATTGGCCCACTTTAAATGGCTCTGCTTTAAAAAAATGTTTTAAAGTATATAAGTAAGTTTCTGTCAAAATTTGCTTTTTTAACTTTTATTATTTTTGTCCATTTAAACTCTGAATCTTTAACCGTATATAACATTTTTTCGGACTACAGTCAAAAATAATGGTACATTTGTCAACCGTGTTTTCAAGAATTAAGACTTTTGTTGAACAATATATTTAAAATTACCTGCTTTAAAAAAATGTGCTAAAGTTTGTTAGCAAATTCCATCAAAAGTTGGCACATTTAATTAGGATTGCAAAATGATAAATTGTTTACTAATAAAAACACTTTATTAATAAGAAAAACATCTATTTAAATAATAACTACCTAAAATTCACACGTTAACGGCGAACACCTTTCGGTCTCAGTTCAAATTAATTTATTTATTTATTATTATTTAAACAAACATTTAAACTAATTGTAAGTCAAAAAGGTCATGCTATTTTTAGTTTTTTATATTTTTATTCGATTTTTTTACCACTTTACAATGCTAATTATAAATGTGCCAATATCTGATGGAACTTTGCCCTACATACTTAGTACAGTTTTATGAAAGAAAGGTCTTTTAAAAGATTTGAAAATTTTATAAATTTGTTGTTCAACGAAAAGTTTTGAAAACTTGAGGGTAAATGTGTCATTATTTTTAACGAGAATTAATTTTAACCAACAAAAATAATAACCAAAAAATGGTCACTGTTTGTTCAATGCTCTGGGTTGCTCTTTGAAGCTCATAATTTTCAAACTACATAACATAATTTTCTGCTCTAATTTTTTTATGATAGTTACGAGCAATGTCAAAAAATGGTCACACTTGATCAAAGCTCTGGGATTGCTCTTAAAAGCTCATAATTTTCGAACTTTTTTGATGATAGTTACGAGCAATTATGTCAAAAAATGGTCACATTTAATCAAAACTCTGGGTCGCACTTAAAAGCTTTCTGCTCTAATTTTTTATGATTGTTACGAGCAATTCTGACGCCCAGTTTCGGCTTGACGTTGAGTTCTGGGACACCCTGTATATGGATTTCAAAAATAGCTTATTATATAATATTAACTAAAATCAATCATTTTTTTAACTATTAAAAATATTTTAATTTTAAAATAAACACCGTTGAATCCAAACAGCTGAATCTCAAATTGTTATTGATCATATTGATATTAAGGTAAAATGATACTTAGAAAAGATTTCTAAACTTGATTTCATAAAATTGTAATGAAAACTCGCAAAAATTCAATAAACTAAAGTACTATAATTTCATTGCATAATTATTAAGGCAAAAAATCAACCTAGATCTTAATTAACTATTTTATGTTTCAATTATTATTACCACAAAAGCTGGCGTCGCAGATTTTTCACGAACACGACACATGGGAAGTATAAATCTCACCTTACTGAAAATAAAAAAAAACATATTAGTAATCAATGCTAAAATCTAATCTATAGGGAAGACTGGGTACGATTGTACCACTTTATCAGCAATTTTTTGTTAATTTATCAGTTATTTGGGAAAAAGGTTTATTAATCAGTCAAAATATCACAGTAGTTATCTATCAATATACTGAGATCTAGTCAAAATCATCATTACAAGGCAGACCGCATGTTTCTTGGCACTTGATCTATTTTACCTTCAGAATATGAGCTTCCACAAACCAGACAAAAAATTGTCTAATTTTTTGCTTTTTTCTTTCCATTTTTTCGTATTTTAGTCCAGTATGATTATTCTTGATATTTTTACCCTTTCAACCAAAAAAATACATAAAAAACATATCACAACCGTCCACTGTCACTACCCAGCGCTCACTTTTGGAGACATATCATCATTATGATCGAGCTGAATTATCTAATATTTTTTATAATTAAACCTTTTTTCATAGGCCTATATTATTTTATGAAGTGCAATTTGACTATTAGCTCTATCACCATGCTAAATTTTATCAAAATGCCAGAAGTGTAAACCTGAGGTTTACTCATAGATAAACAAGTTTACTTTATCTTTATAGGTACTTTTATCTTTAAGGTATATTCTTGATAATCTAGTGCCAAATTAAAAATGTTACTAGAACAGCTTTTTGAATTAACAAAATATCTGCATTAGTTTTTACAAAATTGCATTTTTAATCTTTGCAAACTTTATAATTTTTTATGCAATCTAAAAAAATTCAATATAAATCCTTCAAAATCTAAATATTTAAAATCTAAAAAACACAATATCTCGAAAACCCCTGGAGATATTTCAGTAATTTAAAAAATTCTTCTTATAACACTTTTGATTTGCCATCGAACTGTTATAATCCCGATTTGCTATTTTAACTAGTTCACTAAGAATTCAACATCATCAAACATGCAAATATAAAACTCATATATAAAACATAATATATAGTACAGCTATAAATATTGTAAGCAAACACTAATAACTGCTAATGATCAACTTACAGCAAAATAACAAAATGATCTACTGAAACCAATAATAGAAACTTGTTCGAACAAACATACTACATCTTTTCCCTTTTAGACCCTATGTCAAAATTAGTATAGTATAGCTGTTATAATGACTGTCACTACCGTACCCTGGCACAATCCTGACCAGTCTTTTTTATATATAAATAAAATCATTTGACAGAGCTTATATTTATAAATAAATATTAATAGTGCGTAATAAATTTTTTATTTTTTAAAGCAAATCTAACAGTGTAGTTGTATTAGCCCAAGATATTCATATACTAAGCATTGAATTTTAAAATTTAAAAAAAAAGAATATTCTTCAGTAAAGCTAATACAAAACACTGAATAACAATTAAAATAAAAATGTCAAAACCCTCAACCTCTTTATTAAATTTTATGCAAGCAAAATTGCAGGTACAGCTAATTGGAAATAAAATATGTTATCAACAAATTCAACATCAGTAAAAATTGTCCTTGACAAAAGGAATAAAAAGCCATTTCAAATAATCTTTTAATGTATGTTATTTTGATTGGCTATAAAACTATGCAAAAAAAATGTTTTGTTTTGAAGTGTCAATTTCATTTTTTTGATTTCCAAATTTTAAATTATTTATTTATTACCAGTCTTTGGGTTTCTTCTCATCCACTGAATCATTATCTCATCATCAGAGGATGAATCCTCTTCCGAAGAATTTTCCGACATTTTTCTTTCCAGATCCGAATCAGACATTTGGAAAATATAAGTCGACGTTTATTTCGGAAAATTTAATATTTTTATCATTTTGAAACGAATATTGTATCGCGCTAATAATTTAGAAACACTGTACAAATTTTATTGAATTAATCAACATGTTTAAAATGTTGATTAACTGATAATTTTGTTGAAAATTTTATTTGGTTGTGAAATATATTTTAAATTTTGTTTTATGATTCACAGCCAATGTGATCATAAGCAGGAAAAACAAATATTATTCAATTTTATTTGTGGCTGTCTGTGATTTATTTGGTGAATAAAACTGAAAAATATTTTAAATTTTTTGTGAGATGGAAATGAATTTGATTTTTATCGGAATGGGTTCTAACAAGTTGTGGTTTTTTCAGTATTTTATGCAGTTTTGTATGAAAGTTGTATTTGTTAATTTATTTAATGAATTTATAAAATATTATTAATAATAATATTATTAATAATAATAATAATAAGTGCTCGAGAAAAAGCCTTTTATTGTAACTCCGTAAGAAATTGCATCGATTAGTTTCGCTAGACGATCTGCCAAGCAGTTTCTTCAGAAATAGCCAAAAAAACACAATTTGTTTGCATTTTTTTCATTATTAACACAAAAAAGGGATATCACTGGGTAATCTGCATTTTTTTCAGAATTAACACAAAAAAGGGATATCACTTAATAATCTCTATTTAGGGATTAACATTACATATTTTTTTGTATTTTAAAAACAGATTGAGAAATAAAAAAAATGTTTTATTAGGCTCACCATTTACTGTATGCTACTATTGCAAATTGTAGAAATTCACGAAAGTAAAAAATCTAAATATATTTTTGTTATAAATTCATAATTAATAATACATTTTCATAAGTGTTATTTATATAAAAAAATGTGGGTTTGATGTTCTTAAAAAATGTTTCTTTAATTTTTTATTTTTTTACAGATGTATCCTGTTTGCAACAATTATCTACCTGAATTTGAATTTAGCACATGCCAATTTTACTACGACAGAATTTTATACAGGTATTAAAATTTATTACTATTATTGTATAATATATATATATAAATATATATATATATATATATATATACGTATATATATATATATATATATATATATATATATATATTTGAAGTATTTTACAGCCCAATCGTTAAATTAAAATAGAAAAATTCTTTATTCAATTAAACGTTTATACACTTAATGTGTGTCATCATCCATTAATCTAAAAAAAAATATATTACATAAATAACAATAGTTGATATTAAATATAAAAATGAGAAAATTATTATTATAACAATCTACAATTAGTTACAATGTTCTTTTTCACAAGTTTAGTGTTCAATAAATTTTATATAATTTTTTTGTGTTTTTCCTGGTTTGGTATGTATATGATTTTCTCACTTTAATATTTTTTATATTTAATATCAACTATTGTTATTTATGTAATATGTTTTTTAGATTACTGAATGATGATACACATTAAATGTCGAAACGTTATTAGAATAAAGATTCTTTAATTACAAAAATACTTTCAAATATGTATCAACGTCGACAAAACTATCAACATACATAATTTAACAAAGAAAAATCATCTTATTGTAGTAAAACCAACATTTCGAGTTTTGCTTGGACTCATCTTCATGCTAAATGAAAAAAATTATTAAATCACATTTTACTTCTAAATTACATTATAAATCCTTTACATATTTCTCCTATTTGATCTCAAAGACCCCAAAGTCAAAGTTCCTGGTTTATGAAGACTACCGGGTGGACGATACATCAAATAATCAACTCTGACCTTTTAATTTCGACTTGATATATGGAGACAAATATTTCTCCCATGGCATACCTTTGATTTAAACCTTTATTGGTTATGGTTTGAGCAATAGAAGTAATAAGATGCCTTTGGTGCATGTAATTGCGCCATATATCACAATCGGAAGAGGTGATTTTCGAATTGACATTACTAAGCAGGATAGACATGGAGCCAAGGTTCAATTTTTAATAAATTTTTATTAAATTACTGCTAATTTAATAAAGCAATTTTGAATAGGACATTTGATGTGAAATGATATATCTGCTCGATTTATATTTATTTTTTGTAAAATTTACAATACATGAGCAAGTCCAAGAGTGCTCAAAACCTGACATGGATATTTCACAAGATTAACAATTATGTTTTTGCATAGGTAAATTAAATAGATAAAAAATATCTACTTGTTGACATGAGATGATATAGAAAAAAGAAAATAAAATTGATTTTAGATGAAATAGTGTAATTAGTAAACAGTTAGTACCACATAGCAAAAAAAAGCTAGGTACTCATTACCTAATTCTGATTATTCAAATATGACCAGAAAAAGATTTAAATTAAAATTAATATTAATGTTTTTTGATCTGACTTTCATTATAAAAAATATTACACTTGATCTGACATAGTATCAAAAATTAAATTAATTGCAAAAATTAATTTTAAGAATAGCTAAAATTGTGATACTAGAAGAAATGATATAATAAAGTACTTTAGGCCTTGACTTAAGTTAACATTGAGTGATTATTTTTTCGAAGGTGATGTTCATATTTCGTGAAGTTTCAAATCATTCTGAATCCTTTGAGATCAAAATTGGAAAAAGTATGCGTATGTATGTGACCCGATTTTTGACCATTCGTCGACGTGTTCCCAAAAACTGCCAAACAATTTCAAAAGTTTGGGACATAAAAAGTGCAATATTTTTGACCACGTTTTTGCCAAAAATTCTGAACGAATTTTTGAAAAATTAAGAAGTGTTTTAATGCTTCGGCAAGCATTCTAAAGTCTGCAAAAATTGGTTTAATTTTGAAAATTTATTAAACTATAAACATACATAACATACCATAATTCTGCATATATAAATATATATAAAATCGTTGTCGCCCACAAAATAAAAATGTATATCAATAACAGATCTAATCCATATAAAACTGTAATAAATTCTTTCAAGCTGTCACATATAACACGTTTTTATAATTTATTAATCCACAACATCGGCCTATATGTTTTATATGTTTTGATAAAATCTCTGCTATAAATCTCATCTGTCTTCTGTTTCCGGGTTACTTCTAAAAAATATCTAAACTTCCGTTCAGTTTGTAGAAATAATCGAAATAGAAGCGATTTTTGGTTAATCATTTATTTGAACCTAAATTGTCTATGAATATTAATATTTTTACCTAGATATTCCCTACCATCTATTGAATTAGGTTTCCCTTTGAAGTCTTACAAGATTCACTGTATTTTTTTTTCAATTTTGCTTGTAAGATATTTGCTTTACTTTATATACTAGATGACCCGACAGACGTTGTTCTATACCCACGTCTACAATTCAAAAGTTCCAAATTTTTCAATATTCTATCCTAAACTTTTTATATCCTATTTGATGTCCTGCCTTTGTGATTCATTTATAAGCAGAATGAAAAATTCAGAAAAAATAATACAGTATCTGCAGTAAAAGAATAATATCACACTTGATTTTACCACACAACATAATTGCTTCAATAATTTAGTCTATAATTTTCATAATCTCGTACGATGTATTAGTTGCTCTTTGGCAATTATAATTTCTAAAGTACATTTTTCTTACTAATAATTTAATAAACATTATTGTTTATGTTCAAATCTTAGGTTATGTATATGCAATTTTGGACTTATTGCGTTATTTATTAAACTGGATTATATAATTTGATCTGCCAAAACACATACTGTTGACTGTATCTTATATTATTTTATATTTTGGCACATCTCAGCTGCATTTCGGCAATAATTATGTAGGCATTATATTTTTTCTGTATATTATATTCTAATATTATCTAGGCTCATATTTTCAGCTAAATTCAAAATTCAAGTGAGTTGACATTTCTAGCAGGTTTAATGTTTTCAATGTCAAACAATGATAAGTGGTTTCATGTAATTTTTGCCATTTATTTCTACAACATTGTTATAGTTTTATCGCTCATTAAATCTTAAAAATTACCTTTGACAAACTCTAAAAAGAATTATCAAAATCCGAATAAGGAGTTAGGAGAAGTATCAAATCATAAATTCGTACAGAAGAATTTTATATATAAGATATAGATAATGCACAAATTGTGTGCGTGTTTGAATATCATAAAATTGCAGCATATTATTTGAAATTAATGTCATTTATGTGCAACTTAATTTCTTTATAATAGGTTGTCAAATATCTCCCTTCCGCCTTTTTGTATTATAAACCAAGAGCAAAAAAGCGGAAGGTATTGCGGAAGGAGATATTGGACAACCTAATATTATACAGTTCACCTTGCCTATAGCATACCGTTTGATTTACTTCTAATTACATACGGTGACATTTAATTAGCAATTAACACATTACAAATGTTGTTCAATAATATTCTCATTACGATAACAATCGTTTCGGAGACGCCACTTAATAAATTTTCTAATAATCCCGCATTCCCACACACGTGTCTGACATTACGAGAGCACGTGGGTTTGACACCTCTGCCCACGTGGACGATCGATGTCTTTGGAGGTTAGGGCGACATATAAATTACTATAATAATTATTAATGTTGTGATTTATAACTGACACTTGGAGATTCTTCTGGGTAATGTCATTGGCAACAAATAAATAAATAAGACAATTGGATGTTGCAGTCGATTGTGCACTGAGGGTTCAGACAAAGTAAATATTTTTTGCTATTTTTATCACCAATGTTCCTAGAATTAATCATAGAATTGACATACTTATTCTTGCATACTAACTCTTGCTATTATTTTCTATGGTTAGATTCTTCCTAGATTAATCATTTTTAATAAATATATAAGAATATAAATTTAAGAAAATACTTCAAGAGTCAGTATCAAACTTAGCATCATATTCCTCCAAAAATTAGTAACACGTGGTTTGTATAACATACACATGACTATAGCAATTATTATTGTGATTTCTAGAAAGCACTTAAAAATTGTGCTTAAATTATTCCATGACTAGGCACAAGCGGTATTTTGCTTTAATGCAAGTTGGATGATCATTTCGATATGTGAATAAGAAATCAAATTCAACAAACTCTTAAATTATGACTATCAATAATGTAGACATTACATTTTTCTTGTATATTATATTCTAATATTATCTAGGTTAATAATTTCACCTAAATTAAATTTTCAAGTGAATTGGCATTTCTGGCATATGTTTTAAATGTCAAACAATGATAAGTGTTTTTTTTGTAATTTTTGCCATTTTTTTCTACAATATTACTTAAAATTTAAATCTTAAACATTTCCTTTGACAAACTCTAATAAGATTCATACACCCGTACAGTGGAATTTTATATATAATATGCATATATATATATATATATATATATATATACTAACATGCCCTGCCATGCCTTGCTGTGGCTTTTATTAAAATCCACGAATATGATGGACAGTCAACAGTTATACAATATATTTCAATATTAATTTCTAATGGTCAGTCAAAACTATTGATGAAATATTTTGTGAAATTAATTTAAAATAATTTATAAAAATAAATAATAATTTAACATATAATAATGTATGAAACATTAGTATATTTCCGAATCTTGGAGAATAAATTGATAAATGATTTGTTTATTTGCTCAACGTCACTTTCCAATTTGAAAAAAACAATGAAATATGTAAGTGTAAAAAATCAAATATTAGATATAAATTGAAAATAATACATATTTTAGAATAAAAAAGATATATAAATAAATTATATATGATCAATATATATTGAAGGCAATGTAAGCAAAAATGTCTCATCAAAATGTATAATATCTTAGCAAACTTGTCGTCTTCACTTTTCTTTTATATTTTTGAAAGTTAAATTTAATTAACATTTTTTATTATTAATTTAATATTCAAAATATAAATTATAATTGATATCTTTTGCCGTAACTAAATCTTGCTTTATGAAATGAAAATGTTTCTTTTTGAATCGACCAAAAAATTTTGATTTAGAGAACTTTTTAATTTATTTTTTTTTAAATTTATTACTGTCAGTATAATTTTTCGACTAATAATTAAGGTTTATACTAAGGTTTCTTGAACCATTGGCATCTGTCATTTCATAAGGTTTTGTCTTATTCATAACTGTCAAAATTAATTGAATTTAGTAAAATTTTAATATTTCGGCAATGAACTGGGAATTTTGATATTGCCCATAACCTAAGTTGCATATAAATGCATATGGTAAGCCAATTAAATTTAAAATCGGTTCAGCAGTTTAGGAGTTTATTACGGACAAACATCGTAATTAAATTCATAATGTTACTAAACAAATTTATATACTAGAAATGCGCTTTGTAACAATAAACTTTTATATGGTTACTCGGAAATAATGTATCGTAAAGCAATTTATATCGATAAATGATTATGTGTGATTTATATGAAACGGTGTGATTTTTCACGGTATTTTCAATTGTTACTTTTTCTATACACCAAGTACCATGACACCATTTTAGAGACTGACTGACTCATTAAATGTTAATTTCCTACTCTTTAAATGACTATTCTAAATCACAATCTAGAATAAAATAAAATGTTATTACACATTGTAATTGTAATATATATAAATAAATAGGTAAGTGTCAACATTTATTGTAAATTCTGTCACATGAGTAAATTGACATATGACGGAAAAGAATTTATTGCAAAGTTTAATAATTGTTAAGCCTTGAAAATTATATACAGATTTGCTATTAATATACTAATAAAGATAAAAGTATATTTTTCCATGGAAGATTGTGAAGAGAGACCTGACAGAAAATATCCTTTATAATAAAAATTGAATATATTGGATAAAGAGCTTATTTATAAATATATTAGATGCAGATACAAGCACCTGATTATTATTAAATTTTTTTACCATTATCATCTTTCAAAGTAAAACTTTTTTACGCGCGACTAGCGAGTAATTCAGGAAAAATGCAACGGAAACCCGTTACGGCTATCGATGGAATCATTCTATACGGGTCGATTGTGATTGGTCGGCGTGTCACGTGCGTAGGGATCTTTGGTTCCATGCGGTATATATTATATATATTGATATATTTATTTTAAACTTGAATGCCATCTCGTACAATAGCAAAAAAAAATACTTTAATCGCGTGTGAACCTTACGCGCACTTATTTTATATTTATTAACTTGATTTTTCTGCGTGCGTATATTATTTCTAGTTCTTATTTTCAATTAAGTTACCACTCCTTCATTTTATATTGCCATAAATATGTTTTTAATGTTTTATTAAAAAGTAATTATTGTGATTAATTAGAAGTGTCTATTAAAAGCGTCGCCTTACTTTATTAGTTTATGACCATTTAATGGCTAGACAGAAATATCTATTTAATTCACAGCATCCGCATTCGAATTAATAATAAAATATGGTATCAAAAATTGTATTTGATCAGTTGGATATAAAATGAAATTTCATAATTAGACAAATTATGTTTTGTCGAAGAAAAAGTTGTGTTTTTGCCTGAAAATCGGATTTTGCCAGAAATTCTTCAAATATATATATATATATGTATATATATATATATATATATATATATATTCATAAAGATGCATAAATATATATTTTATCCTCCCATAGTTCAGCGACCCGACATTGTAATTAAATTCAAGTTCGGCGAATGGTTATTACTCAATTCTAATATTAAGCTATAGCCATAGCTATAATCTGTCTGTTAGTATTTATTTTAGAATTAGTGATAAAATCCAGAAATCTTCCTAAGTGCTAATATACATCTGTGAAAACGCTTTGAAAATGTCTAACTCAAAACATACATCTCATCACAAACGATGTAGACGTACAATCTAGTATGCATAACATTTGCAAAATTTAAATAAACATTCAAAATTCCTTAAATGAACTAGTTGTGATGTGGCATTTTTCCTTGAGGCAAATTGTATGAACTTAAGGGGCGTCTATTAATCACGTGATCGATTTTTTAAGAATTTTTGGAAGCTGCCCCCCCCCCCCCTTCCTCTTGGTGGTACGTGGTGATATTCAACAATTACAACAATATTTACTTACGACAAAAATTGTAATATTTTCGGATTTTTTTTAAACAAATTAGGTACAAATAAATACACATGATATCTTACTAAACCCCTTCTTCCCCCAAGTTATTTTTCGTGATTTTTTGTTCAGAGGAGGAGGGATCCAAAATTTTTTAAAAAAATGATCACGTGATTAATGAACATCCCCTTACCTGCTTTTGCTGCACCAATAAAAAATTCATCAATATTGAGAACATTCAGAAATTGTAATAATAAATTTATCATATCGATTTAGGACAACCGTTCGGGCCGCCATATAAAAAAAGACCAAAGTTTCAAGACAACATTTCAAAGGTTTTTTTTTAGGTTTTGATAGATGGTAAAATATATAACTTACCATGTACACTTGCCCTAAGTATAATTTATGTCACAAAGTATACATCCCGTGACATCATATTTCCTACATGCATTTATTGCTATTTTATTGGCATACTGAATATTACCATTTTATTGCTCCAGAGTTCTAACAATAAGTAAAAACCTCTATTACTACCATTGGCAATAAATATTAGCCGGACATTGCTCTACAAAAAGGAAAAACCACTCAATCATGATTGTGGTTATAAATCGATACACATTAATAATATTCAAGTGCCAAGTTTATTTTTAAAATAGTTTATAAGTGCTATAAATTATGATATGTAGAATTTTATTAAAATATAATTAGCTCTGCAGGAATAGATCCTACTAATAAAGATCTGAATCAGAACATACATTTTGTATCAATTTTATTTCATTTATTTTTAGTATTGTGGCAATTGGGATAGAAAAGTTTGGTTTCGAAAAATTTGTGAGTTAAAAATTGTATCGTCACAATTTTATGAGTTGCTGAATCTAAGGGAACGGATTCTGCCGTATAACAGACCAATGTTATGGCAAGGCCATGTTATAAAGAACTTTCAATACTAAATATTGACAAAACGCCATGTGGTTGGTGTGCAGTCAAGCGTAATTCTCAGGTTGTCAGATAGAAAACCTGAGCTAGACCCCGCACAAATTACAAAAAAACGATGTTAGATAACAGGGTCTTTCTGACTCAGCTTCATAACATACGAGTGACGTTGCAGTTTATGTGTACCACGCCTGAATGCACAGCAAATGCATGACATTTTGACAGCATTCAGTATGATTCAGTAACATAATGCATGGAAGGTGGAGCGTAACATGGCCTTGCCATAACATTTTTCTGTTATGCGGCAGAATCGGTCCCTAAATTCGGTTATTTACAAATATCAGCTTCTTGCTTTAATACAAAATGCCACTCACACCTAGATGTATCTACTTTCTTTAGCATTGTCAGAAAGTCACTTTCTAATAATTCACTTATATATCTTATATATAAAAATGGAGTTCTCGATAAAATGATCCACTAAAACTCGAAAACGGCTGAATCGATTTGGCCAGTCTTAGTCTTGTAAAATCAGTAGGTTGTCGGAAAGGTCGGATATTATATAAAAATCGCGTAAAAACTTTACATTTTTTATTTAAAAGTTTTTGTAGAAACGTAATTTGAATAAAACAATGGATGGTGGCTAATACGTCAAATGTCAAATGTTTTTGACAGATGATGTTCAATTACGTTTAATAGGATGTTTTACGTGAATATTATTTAATTATGATTAAATTGTAGTAAGTAGTTTTGTTCGTAGTTATATTTATACACAAAAACGTTATTAAACGGATCGCACGTGTTACTAGAAACTCAAAATATCAACTTTTTTGAAATGTTAATATGAAAATGCACTTGAAAGACAGCAAAAAAGCACATTTCTACAATGATGAAGTAGGTGGCCGTTTTACTGAACGTAGTCAGATAATTGTTCGTTTGAAATGTGTTATTTGTTGTGATATCATTGGTTTGATTTTTATAATATAATTAATATTTGCTCAAAGTCAAATTGGACCTTTGTGTCTCGCACTGCTCTACATATATACTTTTTATTACATTTACTTTAATTCATCGAATGTTACTTGAAACTTTTTAAAAAGCAGGTCAAAGAAGAAATACTCAATTCACTTTCTATCTCTCCTCGCAGAAATTTGAAAAGTTTGTATAAGCTCAGTAGTATTATTTACAATTATACACAAAATCCCGAATCCAAAAAGAATCTAAAAGACTTGAAACGTAATCAATAAGTCAAAAGACCAAAAAAGACTTGGATTGGATTATAACATATTTTTTATAGAAAGTGTATAAAACTTCTAGTTTGATTGTATTGACAAAATATAGTCAAACTAATGGGGTTCATTGTTTTTATAATACCTCATTGTATATAGCATTCGAACAACACATCCTTATACACTTAAATTATTAATATTTTTGATTGTCTAGAAATTGTTTAGAATATACCTTACTTAGCAAAACAACATTTGCCGGGTCAGCTAGTATATATAACCTATTTTATATTTTTTCATAAAATGTTATCCAAATTATGTGTCCTTTACCCTGCAGAAGAACCACCAGAGCCAGAAGAAGATGTACAAGAGCATCAGCCTCCGGACGAACTACCAGCCTTTGTTCACCATGTGTTAGAAACCACAGTCAAACCTCCTGGTCCTTGTCATTCTTATCGACCAGGAGACCATGATTTGCAGACTTTTGACCTGATTCGAAGTTTTCGGTTGGATTTACCACAAACTCAGTACCCAGGAGTCAGCAGGGTACGAGGGAGTAACAGGGTGCAGACTGCTTATAGGCTGGACAGGGAGGCTGATCTTACTTTATCTACAAGGTAAGAACATAATTTTTGAAAAAGAATTAATAACAAATGAAAATTATGGGTACCATATTTTACGTGCAGAACTTCAGGATTACTCTTTTGGAATTTTGATCTTTTGAACTTTGCATGGTGATTGAGTTGATAGTCAAACAGAAAGCCTTAAAATATTAAAGGCCTATGAGACCACTTCTCACATTATTTAATTATGAAAATTAATAATAAAAAAAGAAAAATAGATCGCGCGCTATACGTTATATATAAAAGAGTATAAAATGTTTGGGTTAAAATTGGTATAATTCATTTTTTAACTTTCCGAAGTTGTCTGTTCACACACACACACACATACTTTTTCCAAATTTGGTCTCATTCGATTCAGAATGGCTTGAAACGTCGAGAAAACGAAATTATCAAATCGGATTTTTTGATGAAAACATAAACTTCTCCTTTGGGAAGTTAAAAATGAGTGCCTTTGTATAGCCATCAAATTTGTGCTATGACATTTATTGGAGGTTCGCCATAAATTTCTTGTTCTTCTGATGAATGAGGCTGAATTACTCCACCAGCGCACGTGATCACTTCTCGGGTGACTAAAGAGCTAATTGCAAAGCAATAAATTATATAAAATCCTGCTAATTTATAGTCTATTATAATCAACCACATACAAAGTCGCACTCTTTATATTATAATATTCAAAGTGTTCCGAATCTATTGATGTCGAACGAGATCCTCCTAGATCGGCAGCTGGAGGAGCCTGGTGTGACATCGGTCACTGATGATCTACACCTCATTAGAGGCCGTCGGCTCTTGTGTTTCAAGTCCTTTGCCATCAAAGCCGCATAATTAATTGCCAACATTAATTAGTTTGCTTTGACGGCACAGTCTCTCTAAACACCCGCAAAGTGAAAGATAAATGGCACATATCGGGGATATATGTTATTCCAATTTATTCAACGAGGCGAAAAAATGATATATCAATCTGGAATCAACTCGGAGCAACCTTAGAGTCATTAGATAATGGTAGATTCATAAGTAATAGAAAAAATGTGTTTTTTATTACTCTTCTTTATCCATTCGATAAAAGTTAATTTTTTGTGACATTATTTGCTTTACACAATATACTGGAATATCCTATACATTTTTGCATAATTAAATTCCCGTAGAGTAAGTTATTGTAATCGTTCAAAAATTAAAATATGAAAATTTTTACATATCTTTACGTTTTTATTTATTTCTGAGTATTTCGGCATACTTTTAAAAAAACGGATGAATGTGTGTGCGGATACAAATTTTCGTCGACGATTTCAGGAACACGGTTCAACCGATTTCAATTATTCAAAAAACATTTGCTTGCTGTTTATAAGGAGACGTGCTGATTATAGGATTTGGCATAGGCAGGTCTAGCCGTTTCGAGGATACCAAAATGCCAAAAACGGTAACTCAGTTTTTAGGAGAACGAGGCGTCCGATGTTAATAATTCAAAAAACATTTTACTTGTATTGACAAGATGAAGAACTTACTAAATTTTTGAGAAGGCAGGTCCAGCGGTTATGGACTCTCAATAAAAATTAGTTAAGAAAATGTCATTTGGCGGTGAAAAATGTTTATTAGACATATGTACATCAAATTATCAGGTATTTTATAGAGATTTTAATAATGTGTTCACATTTTGTGTATTTTTTTGGGTTCCGTACAAAGATTTTTGATTACGGTACGGGAAGTTCCAGCAATTTGCCTTAAGGCACGATACCATGCACCCCACTAGGTTTTTATTTGAATTTAAAGAGAAAAATCCAAAAAATTTTCAAAAAAATTATGTCATATTTAGTAATAAGTCATCTATATGTCCAGGTGAAAGCTGATATCGCTTCTGCTTGATATCAGGTTGTCCGCAAAAAACTTAGAAACATTAAGTTAAGCATTTTTGATATATGATATATTGATTAAATATTTGTGATTCAAGTTAATACAAATTCAAGTATACAAGTATTTTCAAAAGTAATAGAAAATTAGTGGTTTTCATCACTCTTATCCGTCCATTCCATAAAATTGAGAATGAAACGTTCAAAGGTTTCTGAACCTTTTGGCATATCTCAGAAAAAATGGATGTGTATGTATGTATGTGTGGATACAATTTTTCGTTCACGTTTTCTGGCGCACGGATCAACCGATTTGAATGGTTCAAAAAACATTCGATTCCTATTCTAGGAAGATATTCCGATTAGTTTTTGGCAAAAGCAGGTCCAGCCGTTTTGGAGATACGGCAGAAAATAGAAATCAAGTTTTTGAGAGAACGGAGTATCCGATTTGAATTATCTAAAAAACATTCATTTTGTAATGATTGGGAAAAGTGCTGATTAGTTTTTGGCAAAGACAGGTCCAGCCGTTTCGGAGATACAGAGCTAAATGCGCAAAAAATGGCAGTTTTTGAGAGAACTAAGCGCCCGATTTGAATTATTCAAAGAACTTTCTGCTTGTTTTAACAAAATAATTGATTTTGGAAAAAAAATTATTTCAAAAAACATTTTTTTTGAATATCGAAAATAATTCGTATTGTAATTTTTTCTAGCTGAAGCTCTATTATATACTTTAAATAAATGTTATTAACTTTGCACCTCAGTTTATATAATTCTTATAAATATTAGAGAATATCCTTCATTTTAAATTCGATTGGTTAAGTTTTGTTTATTTACTTTTATGTAAACATATATACGTTGCAGTGTTTATAATAATCTATTTGAAAACATTTAATATTTCTCAAATTTTTCATTACGATACGGAAAGTTCCAGCAATTTGCCTTAAGGCAGGATGCCATACACTACTAGTCGATTTTAATATCGGAAACAATATCAAACAAAAGTGGTTGGCTGAAAGCCAACTGGACAAAATTTACTACAAACTCCTGCTTTACTCATATCTATTAAATTATCCATTTATTTTTATATGATAGCAATTTATTTTATATTATCTTTTACCATTTTCTAATTTTTTAGCGATGTTTTCCCACAAGGTCTTCCAGAACAGTTTTCATTCGTCTGCACCTTCCGAACGCGAAAACTTCTTAAGACACCTTGGCATTTGATGAGAATCGAAGGCAGCAATTTGGGAGGTCCTCCACAACCTCAATTCCAAATCACGTTGAATCCTAGAAGAGGTTCTGTTGAATTTTCCATCATCAACATGGCTGGGGAACTGCAGACGTTGATCTTCAACAACGCCAATGTAAGCAATCATAATTATAAATATTTATTTAATAGTAGATAAATGATAATTGGTCAGAGAATTTTTTACTGGTTCTTATGGCAAATTATTCAAAACTTTTATAACTGTTTTCATGGAAATGTAGTGAATTTTATCTAGTTTCACCCTATCTAACTCAAAAAGAGTGCTTTCATATAAAATTTGTGAGTTATTTAACAAAAACCAAAAAAATGACCCGAATTTTCTATTTACGATGATCAATTATTTCTAGACCAGGATCTTCCAACTAGTTAATTCCAATGCATATAAAACTATTATTAAATAGAACACAATGTGTGGTAAAGTATTTATGACATCATGATGAAAATTTCTCAGCAACTTGAATAAACATATGACTGATTGCAAAAGAACTTACAATCAGACAGAACAGTTATATTATTTAATCTATATCTTATATTCTGTTATAGTAATAAATTATTATTTACTATTTTCTAAGTAACAAACGAGTTTCCATGAACATATTAAAAATCTTTTTATGGACTTAAAAATCAGTAATGGTCAATTTATATTCATGAGTTAGTGAAAAAGATTGAAAAGACATTTTAAATATAAGACTTGTTAATGTATAATAAGATAGACATGAATGATATGTATATAAAATATAAAAATTGTTTCATAATCTCTTATACCATGCACCCTTGCCTGACTGAGATATAAAAATAATATATATAAAAAAAAACAAAAATAAAAACCGAAGTCAACATTTAGAATATAAAAAAATAATCTAGAAACGATTCATTTTGGAAACATTTTTTTTTTTTTGAAAGAACAAATTCAACTTATTTAGAATATTTAATTAGATTATTACATGTCTAAAAATAAAGAATTGACAATTATCTGCCTTTAATCTCAAGAAGCCAAGAAAAAAAATCAGACAAAAATTATTAATTTAATACAAGAATTTCTTACGTTTTTTTATGAAAGGAAACGCTTTTCTAAAAAATTTGATGGGTAGATTTCCAGTTATTGCCAAGATCTTATGTATAAGTAAACTAGTAAAAACTTTATAAAATATATTTCTAGCATTTAAAAAAATATCTTAAAAATATTATAGATATACTAGATGACCCGACAGACGTCGTCCTGTACCCACGTCTACAATTCAAAAGTACCACTTTTTTTAATATCCTATCTTAAACTTTTTAATATCCTATTTGATGTCCTGCCTATATGATTTATTTATGGTGTTATTATAAGCAGTATAAGAAATTCTGCAAAAAAAATTTTACCAGACAACATAATTGCTTCAATAATTTAGTCTATAATTTTCATAATCTCGTACGATATATTAGTTGGTTTTTGGCAATTATAATTTCTAAAGTACATTTTTCTTACTAATAATTTAATAAACATTATTGCTTAAGTTTAAATCTTAGTTGAATTAATTTGTTGAATCTAGTTCATCATATGTGCACTATTCAATCAAAGATCAACTAACTAATTAATTCATGTCCAATGGCAAACAAATGAATTTTTACACACGAAACAAAATTCTAAAATTTCCATGGAAACACTTATATACAGTCCGATATAAAAGATTTGAACAAAACGGCTTTGATTTGAATTTGATATTTCATTATTTAGCAATAAATAGAAAATTCGGGACATTTTGTTGGTTTTTGTCAAATAACTCACAAATTTGTTTGATTAAAAATCCATGGATAGATTTTTGAAAATTTGAAAATTGCCAAGTGCTATAAAACTATTTTTATGGAGACAAAAAATGATCTTTTTAATTAATAATTTTTTATCGTTCCGAAGAAAAAGTTTGTCCCACTAGAAAATGAGATTTGTTAATTTCCTGGTTGCTCGACGTTACAAGTCATTCTGAATTTTTGCAACTAAAATTGGAAAACGTATGGGAGTGTGTGTGGCAAAATTTGACCTTTAGTCAAAGATTTCTCAAAACTGGATAAACCAATTTTAAAAAATTTAAAGGCCAAGAACTTGATTTCAATGAATCGTAACATAAGTTTAAACAATAAGACATTTAAATTTCTTGAATTTTAGTCTATTGTTTCAGCTCTTATCATGAATAAAATGTAATTTGCTGATGATTGATCGTCTAAAAGAAACCGCTACAAGTAGATCAGATAAACAATTGATATTTTTATCTAGGTCTTTCTAAAATTATGTACCGATATTATTTATTGTTTTAAATATCTAGACAGAAACCTTTTCAAGTTTTTATTAATGATCAATAGAAAAGATGAAAGGATTGTTTCAACTTGAAATAGTATCATTTATTATTTCTTCTTTGAGATAAGTAGAAGAAATAGATTAATGATTGCTAAAATATTTTTGCTGCTGCGGTTTATCTTATATATAAAATTCTTCTGTACGGGTGTATGAATTGATACTTAAACGGTTATTCGAATTTTGATAATTCTTTTTAGAGTTTGTCAAAGGAATTTTTTAAGATTTAATAAACGATGGAATTATAGTAATATTGTAAAAATAACTGACAAAAATTACAAAAAAACACTCATCATTGTTTGGCATTGAAAACATTTGCTATAAATGTCAATTCACTTGAAATTTGAATTTAGCAAAAATTATGAGCCTAGATAATATTAGAATATAATATACATGAAAAATGTAATGTGTACATTATTATTGATAAAAAGCAGCTGAGATGTGCCAAAAATTAAAATAAAATAAGATACAGTCAACAGTGTATGTTTATCAAGGATAGATATCTATCTATCCATGATAGATAGATATCTATCTATTTATCTATGGATTTTTAAACAAAGTTTTGCCCGTTTTATATTTCCATGGCGCCATAAAAGCTAACTATGAGTATGAGAACAGTTTAACATATCAGCACGATTGTAAATTAAATTATATTGCAAACAAAGTAATATAAATATCAATTCATTTATTAAACGACTTCCTTAAATGGCAATAGTAGTTGCAGACATTACATTTACGACATCACGAAGTCTTAATCACACATTTATTACTTCAAATGTTGCAAAACATTATTTATTAAGGGATAATAATGCACAATTGGGTTACAGGAATGTTTGATAAATGTATAAAATAACTTTATGTTCAAAATAAAGAGTAGAGGATTGTATCTAAATATCTAAATCCTAACAGTTCATGCAACTAACCTTAAGGCAAAATGCCACTTTCAACTAGTTCGTACAAAATTTTCTACAACTGGTTCTTTTTAACTTCCCGTAGGGAAAGTTATAGTAATCGCCAAAAAATCGGAAACAAAAATTTTTGCATATCTTCACGTTTTGAAAATTTCTGAACATTTTGGCATACCTTAGAAAAAATTAATGTGTATGTGTGAGTATGTATGTATGTATGGATCAACCGCTTTGAATGGTTAAAAAAACATTCGATTCGTATTGATAAGGAGATGTGCTGATTAGTTTTTGGCAAAGGTAGGTCCAGCTGTTTCGGAGATACCAGGCAAAAAGTGCCAAAAACGATAATTCAAATTTTGAGAGTACGGAGTACCCGATATGAATGATTCAAAAAATATTTACTTGTAATGACGGAATGAATAATTGATGAAATTTTTGGTAAGGCAGGTCTAGCGGTTTTGGAGATACAGAGAAAAAAGTAAAAAAATGATATTTGGTGATCAAAAATGAACATTAGACGTATGCACATCAAATTATCAGATATTTCATACAATTTTTTAACATAAATACTAATTTTGTTGGGTTGCGTACCAAGATTTTTTAATTTTTAAAGTTTTACCTATCGGTTCAAGCAAATTTTAAATTTCCAAAAAAAAAATTCAATATTTTCAAAAATATACAAAGCGAAGTATACGAAGCGTAAATATATTTATCTCTAATTATATTACTTTCAATATATAAATAAAAAATAATGCATTTTTTCTCATTGTATATGCAAATACAAAAACTAAATTTACTTTTCATATAGATAAGGTAGAACTTTTTTGCCTGAATACGAAAGGAGAACTAAATATCTGAATAAAATATTATTGTAATTAATTGGTTAGAGTGAATAT